TCACTTTTTCGAGCATCCAATTTCGCGAGAAAGTATTGTAAAATACAACATTTTATGTAATCCACGTAATCTATGTATCTTTGTATGTATGCACTTCTTCGAAATCATAGGGGAAGCCACCCCCGCCAACCCTCCCGCTGCTTTTGAAATTATATACCCTTTCTTGAAGCATTGCGCCCCTATTTGAATCATCACTTCCTCGAACATCATGGGGGAGGCTGCCCCCCCCCCAACCCCCCCGCTAGTTCTTAGACTTTTTGCAGATATTTAGTTGCACCCCTTCGAATCATCACTTCTGCGAACATCATTGGGGGGGCTGCCGCCCCCCCAACCCCCCCGCTACTTGTTAGATTTGTTTACAGGGATTGAAATGCCCTCCTATTTGAATCATCATTTTTTCGATCCCGTCAACCCGCCAGCTACTTCTTTTTTTTTATATTTTGTTACCCCACAATTTGTTGGTGATGCTAGGGATGTTGGTCGGACATGCGGGGGATAGAGTAAAATACGTCAACTTTGCGAGAACATGCTGTAAACTACGACATGTTACTGGCCCGGACGAAGAACGAAACAAATCCTAAAATAGAACGATATAAAATCCCAAAATATATCCGCACCCATTGTCTTTTGGTTCTGCATTGGTTATAGAGGTTGATACACTTGTCCGAAACAAACTAGTAGAATCACTGATAGTTACGCTTCCTCGCGGCAGTTTGAAGAATCTCGTTCCCCCCGAGAAGCTGTTCCCGGGGAAGCTTGAAGCTGTTCTTTGGTCCGATGAGGGCCACAGGGTTCCGTTTCAGTCGTCCAAGCCTGTAGGTTTGTTGAAGTGAAAGCGAAGCCATGGATTGTTGAGTTCAATTATGATTCAAAGTAGGATCGGGCCCACAAGGCAGCAATCCCCGCAGATGCAGGGTCACTTTCCCTTGTGCAAGCCTTGATGCGCCTAACATCCTGCAGCTCAAACGCTCTTCCTTGGGGGACACTGCAGCAATCCGGGCTGCGCAAATTGCAAGGCACAGGGAAGCGTTCCTCTTGAGAGTGTTGTTGCAAGAGTCCTGCTCCCTCCTTGCTTTGCCAAGGTAGTCAGGAGCATGCAGGAACATGAGATGGCTTCACTGGTTCAGTACAAGGCTCGGGACTGTCACGCTGCACTTCTTCCGGTTGGTTTGCTTGCCCTTGTGCTTTCCCTGAGTTGACCATTTCGCATGGCATGCATGCCGCAACGAGCAACACGGTGCCCCTTTGACTGGCACAATCTGAGGCAGAACGTCGATCCCGGTTTGTGCAACCTGGTGGATTAGCGGAATGTATTCCCAGAACGTGCTCCCTCGTAAACGAGCCCCTGACTCATCAACCAGGGTTTGATTTATCCTGGGTTCCCTGATGGGAGGGTACCCTGCAAGAGACATAGCATGTGGGTTGCCCCAAAAGAAGTCGTTGAGACCGCACAAAAAACGGTACTTTAGGGGACCCGAAAGCAACACTCCTTGGGTTGCCACCAGCCCAGAATGGGTGTTTTCTTTGAGGCTCGGTCCGCTTTTTCACCCGATGGCAGGATGGCAATCGAAAGCAGCTCTGCGCCCCAAAATTCGCCCTCCTTGGGAGACACTGATTCTATCCTCCAAAATCACTTGCCCTCGTAGTTTGGTCAATTATAAGTGGCCCGCAAAGCTTCGCCTTTTACTTCCGTAGTCGGAATGGGAATGGGAATTGGAACGGGCATAGGACCTGCTTAGGAACGGGAATGGGATTCCCCCCCCCTCCTCTCCCTCCACCCCCTCCCTCCACCCCTCCCACCCTCCTCCCCTCCTCCCCTCCACCCCTCCCCTCCCTCCACCCCCCCCCCCCCGTGTTTTCGGGAACGGGAACGGGATTCCTGCGAACGGGAATATCCCCCTCACCCCACCCCGCCGCACGTTTCGTCGCCCCAGTGCCGCCGCCGTCGCCCGCTCGGCTCGTTTGCTCGGCGCGGGAGGGCTGCGCGGTGCTGGCGAACCTCGCGGCCTCCACCGAGGAGCAGCTCCGCGTGGCGGAAACCGACGCCATCGCCGCCGCGGTGCGCGCCATGGAGCTCCACGGGGACGAGCGCCGCGGACGGAACCGACGGAACCGCCGGACGGAACCGCCGGGGGGCGACCCGCCGGGGGCGGTGCCGGCCGGAGGCGGCTTGTGGAAAGTCACGTGGTCAACCAACCAACTGTGGGGGTGCTGGAATTGGGGGGCGCCCATTTTTGTTTATCTCACTTCCGATCAAGTTCCTGAGTTCCGGTTCGGACTTTGGGCACTTTTTGGCAGCATCTGAGTGGCAAGCGAAAAGTTGGCTTTTTCTGGCCAATCGACTCAGGAAGTGAGTTGCTGAGAAGAATAGTGTGTTTTATTTTCCCGTGTTGGTTAAAGGGGATGTGTCACTACTGGAAAGATGTGCCTGTTTTTCCAGGCGGACTTAAGTAAATGGAGGAGGGCTTGCTTTGGGAGTGCGTTTTTTTTGGGAGGGACCTTTTCTTTGTTAGGTCAATTAGGTATAGGGTTGATTTGGGTAAGATTAGAGATTGTTAGATTGTTTTTTGTTGTGAACTCTTTCCAGGGGTCCAACACCCAAGGGTAGAAATGTGACGCATCGTTAATTAGTGTCCTTTAAGGGCACCAACTGTTTGCCCTTGGGTGAACAGGAGCAATCCTGTTGAACAACGCTGGGGGCTCCAGAAACATCAAGCGCTGGATGCCTCTAGCTAGTGCGTGGGTAAGAAACCGGGGAAAAGGAACACTTCTTTGGCGCATTTTGCTTGGATGTTAGGACTTTAACTTTTGCCAACTAATTGTTTCCGCACCACAGGCCAATTCCCATGTAAGAGGCTGTGCTGAAGCACAGCCTTGAAGCTGGCTGAGGCGGTTGGTCCAGGACTACTGCATCGGAGCTTTGTTCAACATCTCCAGAGCCCCTCAGAACATGCGGCTCGGAGATGCTGGGGAAACACCGGGAAACACCTGAAATTTGCCCGAAGAATGCCCAGCGTGGGGGTTTCTCCGGTATTGGCCAGCTAAGCGCAATGGCTTGCAATGCGCCTGGCTGTTTGCACAACTTCTACTCCGCAACAAGTATCTTCCCGGAACTGAAGTATTCCCGGAGTTTGTTGGAAGAAGTTCGTGGATATCGTCCAGCGTTGGCAGATGTTGTTTCAATCCAGCTGACAGGCCTGCTTTCAACGCCCACTTTTCCATTACTGCCGAAGGTTTTGCCCAGCGACCCGACATGACGCAGATAGAATGAAATAAAATGAAAGTGCTGGCTTTCTGAACCCGACCCGGATTTCTTTCAGTGACCTGTTATATGTTGACCCCATATTAATCAACGCCAGTTTATTAATAGGGTGTTTCCCTCCAACAGTGGTGTTTCCCCACTAAACCCAGAAATGGACACCCCCTTGTCAATAAACCGGGGTTGATTTATCGGGGGTCAACATGCGCAAGTCGATTTGCCTTGCTCAAGCGCCGCCCTTTGGCCCTTTCTCCGCCCCCAGTTTGGGTTGAGCTTCAGGGCTCGGTTTTGGAAGGGGAAAATGCAAGGAACCCACAGAGACCCACAGAGACCCACAGAGACCCACAGAGAACCGGAACTCCCTTGAAAAACGTGAGCTTTGCTTCACCCAAATGGAATCTGCCCAAAATGGCAAGGCAAAAGCTCATTGTTTTTCATGGGTGAAAATTGCCTTTTATTCGGGCTGCACAGTTCGGTACCTAAGTTTGACCCACACCCCCTCTTTATGTGGGTGGATAGTGTTCGGGAGGCCCTTTTTTCTTGCCCCACAGAGGCCTCCGTTTTCCACGGCCCTGTTTAAGACAATGGCCTCAGAAGGTGTTGGCGCAAAGCGATTTCTGCGTGCTCTGAATGTCAAAGTGATGAAATTCAATGCGGGTCGGCGGGAGTAGCTATGATCATAGCGCTCAGGTAGCCAAATGCCTCGTCATCTAATGTCCATGGGTCGACATCCCAGGCTTCGGCTGCTGAGTGCGGGGGGAGCGTTGGTGGTGAAGGCTGCCTTGGAGCGCCACCCCGACGCCCCCACGGTGTTGCGGGTGGGCCAGGAGAGAGAATCGCACGCCACGTCGCCGGGAGGTCTTCAGGGCATCCTGGTTTGGGGTTGCTTGGGGAAAGCAGTGGGAAAGGAAAGTGTTTTTTTAGGGGTTGGTTCCTTTGCCATTCTTTTCAACCATTGTTCTTTCCAAAAACTGGCTGTTTTCCCTTGGTTTCCGGAGGCTTTCTTGAAAGAAGGATCCTGGAAAGAATGGGGAAGGCACCCCTAGAATTTTATTGGGAAGCACCTCTTTTGGAGGTTGGTGGACATGGAATCGCCTACATGGTGTTCACCAAAGGGTCCCCGTTTCATACTGGATTGCCAATGCATCAATTGGAAGGGATGTCCCAACACCTTTGTCGGTGCATCGAACAAAGGAGTTCCCCAAACATAGCCCTGGAGGCCATTTATCCACCTCTGTTCACCGGCGGGGTTTCTGCATGCAGATTGAAATGTGATAGCCCAGGTCTTTCCACAGCAAATCCTGTAGGTCTATGAAGGCGAGTCCACAACTCTCCTGAAGTGATTTTGGAACACCAGACCTTCCCGAGTGGGCCCCAATTTGTCGCTGCCCCAGGAGCTAGCACAAGCGCTGGAGCAGTGAAGCAAGGGTGGAAAAAGATCAGGGTCGACAATTTGCCCGAATGAGCAGCGAGCGAACCACGAAGCTGCCCAAGAACCTACCGGACCTGTCGGACCTGTCGGATCTGCATGAGATCTTTGGCTTTTGGATTTCCGATGGAAATTACAAAGGGATGCACCTTGCTTGCTTGCCTGTTTGCTTGGTTGTTTGTTTCTTTGCTTGCTTGCTTGTTTCTTTGTTTCTTTGTTTGTTTGTTGGTTGCTTTGTTTGTTTCCCAGCGATTTAATCGGTTGCTTCAAGCTGTTGAAGGAACAGAGTCGCAAGATGCCGCCCGCTTCGAGGCTTTGGGCCGAGCGAGTGGTCGACTTGCAGGCGCGAGGGTGCAGAAGTTGGGTGCGGTGCGCTGGACCTGAGGTGACTCGTGCGAGAGAATGCAGGGAATGGGTTGGGGTCCCCTTAAAGGAATAGGGGATGGTGTACATGTCATGGTTTGCCTTTCCAACGTTTTTGTGGTTGGGTAGCGTAGAAGCCCTTTTCAAGGGAGTCCTTTGTTCATTTCAGTGGAAAAGGCAAACCTTGAGTTGACTGGTGCGAAATCGGCAGGGAATGCGTTGGAATAAACCCAGGGGTCCCCTTGAAGGAATAGGGGATGGTTTACAGGGGATGGTCTACAGGGATGGCATGACCCTGAAGTAAATTATCCAACTGGTGGTGTCCTTTTTTCGGGAGTCCCCAAAAGGGTTCATTCCCCCAATCCCTGCCTGTCGCACCAGCAATCTGAGTTAACTGGCAACAACTTCCAGCGTGTCACAAACCGCAAGTTGCGCTCGAGTAATTATGTGCGGCTAGTTGGCGACATAAATCGGCAGCCTCAGTGCTTCAGACTTTGTGGCTGTTTATGGGTGGAACCGGGGACGCCTGGCTTTTGCGGCACCATGCGCGAACACTTAGCAGATTGTTTTCTGCTTTTGTTTCCTTTTTTTCTTGGAAAGAGTATCTCGATATGTCAGGGACCAATGCCCTTGTTCTTATGTCCTTTCTTTTTGAGCGGTGTCCTTCCTGAAAATCCGATTTTTCCAAGAGGGTTGTTTTTTCAACAGTCTCGGAAACGGACATCAGGCAAACCCCGAAGAGTCTGAGCATCACGCTAGAAGCAAATGCAAACTCTTGCAGATGGTCAAGCCTTTCATTTTGTTTTCAATCAAGGAATCGGACCTCCAAGATGGATTTCGGTGTTCCTTTAGGTGTCCCTTTAACCTCCCCCCAAAGAGTACACCAATCCAAAACCGTCCCCCCCCCCACCCAAAAAAAAAAGAAGAAGAAGAAGAAACAAGACATGAAAGTGCTGGTTTTCCTTTTGGTGTCCCTTTAAAACCAACCAAAACAAGAGGTGGCTCCAAAAATTACGAACCTGATTCAATCCCATTTATTTTTTGCTGCTGCTCCAGGCTTGGCCGTGCAGCCGCGGCCTCGGATGTTTTTTTCTCCCCATGAGTTCCCTCCGACTCGTATGAGTTCCCTCGGACTCGTATGAGTTACCCCTTTGCAAGTGGCCTTCCTACGGATGGGCACGACCATAGGTGTCCTTTTTGGTTGGTTTTCTGAAAAACAACAGAGGGCCCTGGTTTACCTGGTGGCTCAATCATCTACCAGGGCCATCTAGTTTCCAAAAAAGGACACCTATCATTCCAGGGGGGTTGGTTCCGACCATTCTTTTCAACCATCGTTCTTTTCGAAAGCCGGATCCGTTTTCCCCGCGTTTCTGGAGGATTTCTAGAAAGAACGATCCCTGGAAAGAATGGGGAGGTACCACCACTCATCAGGTTGATAATGGTTGCCACTTGCCAGGTAACATGCGTTGTGACAACAACAACAACAACAACAACAACAACAACAACAACAACAACAACAACAACAACAACAACAACAACAACAACAACAACAACAACAACAACAACAACAACAACAACAACAACAACAACAACAACAACAACAACAACAACAACAACAACAACAACAACAACAACAACAACAACAACAACAACAACAACAACAACAACAACAACAACAACAACAACAACAACTGTTCGCCCTACTACTCTCATGTTGATTGGCGGCGTGTTCTGTGTGAGGCAATGCAGGAGGGCAGAAGTACATAATTTTTCGGACTAAGCTCAAACTAGAAGGTGTGTGTCTGTGCGTTCCAGCCCTGGAACATGCCCTTTAAGCCGGTTTCCTGTGGATAGCTAAGAGCAAGCAGCTGGCTCAAAGGCTTATACTTGCTTATGTTCCGTACGGCTGGCTAGTATGCTTGCCCAACTTTGACCGCTTTTAGGGCGTGTACCGTTTTCGAGCATGAAATGTTTTCTGCCTGATAGCACGTTCCGTTTTGTTCTTTCCATGGAGGAATTGCTGGCCAAGACACTTCTGAGCCCCGGCCTTCCTTTGGCTTTTTCAAGGCACCAAGCGAGTCCTCAGTTTTGACACTCCGCGACTGCGGGACTGCGAGACTTGCGAGGCGACGGCTTCTCCATTTGGCTTCCCAGTCGTGGGCCCAGCTTAAACCACAAGGGCTCCAAGGTCGTTTTGTGATGCCCCGCACGGCTTCCATCTCGGGTTTGCGCACGTTGGCGCGGAATGTTCATTTGTGGGGACCGGCCCATTGATTCCAGAGGTCCAGCTGGCTTTGCTGCAGTACAACCGCTGCTTTGTTTGAGCTTTTGGATGATGACAAGGGGTGCTTTGGACATGTGACCCGAGACTTCGGGTTGCACCCCCCTCCCTCAAATTGTGCGCTGATGTGCGCTGACTTTTTGCGGGTCGTGGGCCAGGATTGCCAGATAGCAGCTGTGAGGGTGGAGCCTTTAGAGGCCCTGATCACGGGTCAGTCCTGCGGCCTCAGGCGACGGCGTTGGCTTCTTGCAGGTCACTGGCAGCGAGGCTGGCGTCCAAGGTCGTACCGTATCTTACCATGTCTTAGCAACCCAACATAGCCGGCTTGCCGCTGTTGAAGCAAGCTCCTGGCGGATGAATCTGGTGTTAGTTTGCTTTTGTTTTTCAGGGAAGCTAAGCCGCTGTTTTGAGTGGTCTCCTAAAACAGACACACCCAATTCTGACTTTCAGAGAAATGCTCACCTCGTGTCGCTTCACAACCTGGGGTCCGGGTGGATGAAACCATCTCCCCAGGCGCCGGAGACGTACCAGCTCAGGGCAGGCAAGAAGCCAGCAGCTCACGGGCTAAGACGCATGGATCCCACCGAAAATCCACGCTTGGCTGCTATTGGGTTGGATCTTTAGACTTGAAAACTTTTTGGGAAAGAAAGGTGTTGTCCACTAAACCCCCAGAACGTTGAACTTTTTGCAGGGGGGTCGACAGCACCAAGCACGTTTTGGATTTTGTTTAGAGGTCTGAAGTTGAGAGACTTTTTAGGGCCAATTGAAGTGAGCTTTGTGAAACATGTGGCGTGTGCCAATGCGCAATACTTCAAGTACTCCTCTGGGTGGAGGATATGCATATGTGTCCGCCTGTGTTTTGTTGCTTGTTACCACTTCGCCCTTGCCCCCTGATAGCTTACATCCCAGTGCTGCAGCTCATCTCTGCAAGTGAAGCGTCTTCGTATGAATCATTGGCCATCCTGCATTCGGTTGTTCACGCTGCACGCTCGCCTTGGTTTGCCGAGTCAGACGTTTGAGGCTTCTGCACTGTTTGCAGCCAATGCCGGGCGATCGATCCACCCAATGTGAACAGAAGCCAAACTTGGATCAGCCTCAGCGTGTGCAGAGAGCAGCTACAGCTGACCACGTGATGCTTCTCCACTCGCCGCTGAATCAGCGGCCCTTGCGAACTCCTGATGCCCCGGGCATGCCCCGGGCCCAGGGCCCCTTCTGGCCGAAGGTCGGCCGCCATGTCTGATGCGACTTAGGTTCTATGTGAATGCTGCGCTTCCGTTGGGGCGCCTGGAATGAAGCGAGATTAACATCGGGGTGGGGAGGTTTGCAATGCCTCTTGTAGGAGCATTTCCACATCTCATGATCCCAAGAAGTGCGGCAGTTTAGGGATATGCCAGCTTGGTGGGCATATGTCATACACATATATCTATATATACATTAATCTGCGCGGAATTTAATTTGTATTCATGTATTGCTGTAGCGTCTCCCTTCCTGTGGAGCCTCCGGTTTTTTAGTTGGGACGGGCTGGGCAGGTGTCGGAAGGCATCGTTTGGTTCAGGGGCCGCTTGGTATCCTATGACGAAGGCATTTATGATGGTGACCTTTGCTGCATTTGCCAAGGGCATACCTCGTGGCATAGCAAATCTTCAGTCCAATTTTAGGGGCAGTCAAAGTTGTCCGGCAACTCCACAGCACCATAATGTTCAACGTGCTTGCCCATGGCCTTGTTGATGCTGCTGCCGCCTCCGTCGTCGCTGTTGTGGTTGTGGTTGTTGTTAGAGTGTTTTTTCTTATTGTTCTTGTTCTTCAGCTTCTTCTTCTTCTTCCTCTTGTTTTTGTGTCTTCTTCTTGTTTCTTCACATTTTTTCTCCTTGATCTTGTTTTGTTGTTGGCGTGGGTGGCATTGTTGTTGCCGTTGTCGTGATCGTCTGTTGTCGTGGTGGCTGGTGCCGCTGCTGGTCTGGTTGTCATCGTCGGCAGAAGCTGCCGGCAGGAGGTGAACCACATGGCCATGGGTCAAAATCCAAATCGTACCCCCAGTGAACATCCCAATCCAACCACTAAAATAGGTTCTAAAATGGGTGGGGAAATTCACCTACCCCAAAATGGGATCCCATTGGCTTTCACCCACAGCCACATTTGTTCATCCATAGTTTGACCTGGCCGCTATCGCTATGCCTTTTTCTGCCACTCTTAAGGTAGAGTCTCCACCAAAGGCGGTCACAAAGAAGCACTTCCTCAGGACTTAGCACATAGCAATTGCTGCGGGGCGTTGGCATTCCGCTCATTCAGCTTTTCTCGAGTTGGCTGTTCACTATGCGTTGCTCGATTTGGCTCAAGGGTAGGAGGAGGCCCCCCCTTCGTCTCAAAGAGTCTGAGGTGGGCGCCAGTAATTAGGTGGAGCGCTCCCGGGCCATTTTTTTTCGGTTAGGGGCGGAACGCTTTTGGCTTTCGAGTTGGGCCGCCTTTACCCAAGCCATCGAACCACGGCCCCCTTCAACCGCCTGGGAGCGGTCGGCCGAAGCGCATGGACCCTTCGCTGCATCTGCCGGGTCTCTCGAGCAGATCAGCTGCTTGCCTATCCAGAAAAGTGGCCTCCTTGATGGTTAGGCTGGCTGTGCCCTTGTGGCCACCATGGATGTTCGCCCCTTATGGCATACAAACATTCTGATTACGTAGGCTGGTTCTCTACATGCTTGGGCAGAGCTGCATGGGTGCTTACTTTGCTCTTGAAAGTATGTTGAACAAAGCAATTGCCAAGCTCGCGCCAAAGATCGGGGCAGATTCGGCATGTCTGTCCGAACTCACCTATGGCTCAGTAGCCACGAATTGTAAATTTGCTGTTCAATCTTTGGGATAAGCAGACAAACAGCTCGGTGCGTTCCATTGTTGGTTCTCGTAGAAGCAGTCCGTTGGAACACCTTTGCAGGTGGCGAATTATTTTGCAAAATTCTTCCAATGGATCAATGGACACACTTGAATGCACCCGGATGGCTGTTCAGGCAGCATATGTGAAGATAGGCAGTGTGCAGACCTGACTTCACAGCTCACATGTTGCTTCTGAGGCGTTTCGACCGCGCCAAACCCCAAGGAGCAAGGACTCATCAGGAGCTCCGGGGGCGAGTTGCCGCATTGGTGCATCGCTGCTTAGACTTTCACGGGGCCGCTTCGGTTCTAAAAACCGAGTTGCGGCTTGCGCACCAAAGGACAATCATGCATGCCGCACGTGCTGGGAAGTATCAAGATCTGCCTGGAAGCAACTTACAGGCCCATTTGAGGCTTTCCGTAAATAGTTGTATTCGTTTTTTAGTGGCTAGTGGCGGTGGTTATGTTGGTAAGTAAGTGAAACGCAGGCCGCGGAAGCTCCGCGGAAGCGGCGCGGAAGCTGCGATCTGTTGTGTTCTTTCAAACTATTAGCTTGCCTTTAAACATGTTTCACGCTTGTACCGAAAAGTTACGATTCTCAAGCTTTCGCAGCTATGGATGCTGCAGAAGGTACGCTTTGCGCCGCGGAAGCGGCGCGGAAGCGGAGGGATCGCCGCTTTTTTTTCTCAGTGTTTTACGGAAACCCTCATTTGTTCAGGATGCATCGTTTGGGACGCTTTTTCGATCTCCCCGATCATGCGTGTTGCATTCTACAGTTACATCCCATTTAGGGTCAACCAGATTGACGTTGCGCTGACCAGTGCTCAGGAGTGCCTTCAGGCAGCCCGCCGTCACCCGGTGGCATTGGGACATGCGGATGAATCCAATTCGCAGAAGGGATGGATGAGACCCTGGGATAAATTCAGGGCTCCTGAACAGATACAGTTAGGGCCCACTTGAAACATGGCTTTTTCCAACAAAATAAAGGGAAGCCACCACTTACAAGGCAATGTTCAGGTGACCCAGGTGTATAATGTAAGGATCCCTCATAAACTACCCAGCAACTAACCAGCACCCCCCCCAACAACTGCTTGCTCCCATGTCCAAAATCCCAAGTATTGTCCAAGAAGCAGTGGGGGGCCGGGCCGGGGGGGGGGCCTCTGCCAGCAGCCCTGAATGACAACCGTCCTCAGCACTGGGATTGCGATTTGGACAGGTAGGCAAACATATCAATAAAAATGAAGCAAGAGAAAGATAAATATGAACATGCATTATGAAGATGCTCTTTGTCTTCTCTTTCTATCTTCTCCTACCCATTCTTTCCTGAGCCAAATGCTTCTATTAAAGCCTAAAAGGAATGACAAATGCGAGAGCAATGACAAAGATAACTCACATGAACTTACATATGAATGTATGAACTGTACATAAACAAGAGAAATAAGGTATACCTTGGATGTATGAATGCATGTATAGTACATAAGCAAGGTATATCTCGTATATATGTGAGCATGTATATATATATACATATATATATATATATGTACGTGTCTGTGTATGAGCGCCTTGGGTTGTAAAGGTGTAGGAGTTCCGGTGCCGCACATGCTGTGCAAGCCGAGCGAGCGAGGCTGGACGATGGCCGCAGCCTCTTGGCTGGGTTCGTTTCGTGTATTTTTTTGATTGGCGGAAGAGGTGGCGGACAGTCGAATGTGGCCCAGAGGGTCCAAGTACCGAGGCACTGGTTGCCTTTGGCCGACTCTTGTGCTGAGAGCTGTGGCAATGCGGCAAGCCAAGTCAGATGTGCTATCGGACACGCTTTCGCGGTGTTGCAAAAGCAAACACCTTCAAATGGTTGACGAAGGAAGTATCCGACAAATCCAAAGGAACTGTTCTGCACAGAGACTTCCAATTCCTTGCGTCCCACAGCCGACTGATTTTCGTCAGTTTGGCATTGGCCGACCCTTTTCCAAGGTCCATAGGCCTAGGTGTCAAATTCCAGGTTGCACTGGCTTTGGACCTGATTCCATTTACCAGGGAAACCCATCTACTTTTTCCCAATTCGACGCCTGGGTCTCTTTTCCAGGATCCGGTTTGTCGAACACCGAGGCCCAAGGCTCAAAATGACCTGCCCAGACGCTTGGCGACAGTTCAGTGCAGTGGCCAATGATCGGATCTCTCGTTCGGCGAAACGGGCTCGCCTTGTCTTGAGTTGTTATCCCTTGTTTGTGGGTTCAAAGGGAAACTAAAAGGAGAGCCACTTCTTCTTCTTTTTTTTTGGGGGGGGGGTCAACCTTAAGACAAACCCAAATGAGGTCTAAATGTCCGAACTCGTTGGGGTCTCCCTATCATCGGCTCGATTGGTTTTTCTAGCATGGAGTGAGACTGAAGCAGGCCCTGGCAGGGTTCTTTAGGGATTTGAAGGCCTGGTGTCTCAATACATGACATATGGGGAATTTCCTGATCTTTCAAAGTCCCATCATGGCGCCGCTGTGCCCTTTTGAGGGCATGAATGAAGCCGGTTTATTAATTCGGGGTCAACATGGTTACCACCCCCCCCAAAAAAAAAATGAACAGAAGAAGGAGACGTGCTTGTTGATTCTAACAAGTTTCCTTTTTCACCTCCCAAAAGGGAGGGGTCCCAAAAAGAGAAAGATCCAAATGGGCATGAGTCAAAGGGGACCCACAAATT